TGCAAGATCTAAATTCCCACACCACTCCAGGGGAAGGATACTGCAAAATCCCCATTCCCTCCCCACTCCAGGGGAAGGATACTGCAAGATCCCCATTCCCTCCCCACTCCAGGGGAAGGATACTGCAAAATCCCCATTCCCTCCCCACTCCAGGGGAAGGATACTGCAAAATCTTCATTCTCACCCCACTCCAGGGGAAGGATACTGCAAAATCCCCATTCCCTCCGCACTCCAGGGGAAGGATACTGCAAAATCCCCATTCTCACCCCACTCCAGGGGAAGGATACTGCAAAATCCCCATTCTCACCCCACTCCAGGGGAAGGATATTGCAAAATCTCCATTCTTTCCCCATTCCAGGGGAAGGATACTGCAAAATCCCCAATCTCACCCCACTCCAGGGGAAGGATATTGCAAACTCTCCATTCTTTCCCCATTCCAGGCGAAGGATACTGCAAAATCTCTATTCCCTCCTCATTCCAGGGGAAGGATACTGCAAAATCCCCATTCCCTCCGCACTCCAGGGGAAGTCACAGACTACTCTTGGGATGAAAACAAACACACACACACACACACACACACACACACACACACACACACACACACAGAGTCTGGGTCCTTTTTCTACAGATGTGCAATTTGTTCTTCCTTGGCTTGTTTTCTGCCAACATCACAATTGCGGTGAGTAGGAGGTGTGAATTTTGGTGTCATCTCAAGTGTGCAAAAAATGGGGATGGGCAAAGGAATCTTTTCCACAACTTGTGTGTCTGTCTGTGTGTGTGTGTTGTCAGGGTGAGAACACACAAAAGGAGGTCAACAGAAACTCTCCTACACAACACACAGCTGCCAAATATGGGATAGATCTGAAGAAAATCCAATTCTTATTAAACCTAACCTTTCATTTGGCCATCATCGGGAAGCAATCAAAAGATGACCGTCGCAGCCTTGAGGTGGGGTCCGTAGCAGAGCCCCCCCCCCACCTGGTTCCCTCCCCACTAGCCTCTTCCTCCCTAAATCCGGCTCGTCCCATTCCGAAGGAGCGATTGCATCTACGTCCAGTGGCGGTGAGTTCCCCTGGCAAACTCCGCACAAACGGCTCCTTTGTGCTGAATATCACTTCAACTAAGGAGTTAATCGAAGTGGATGGAGGGAAAGGTGTGCTGGGAAGCCAAGGGGAAGGGGAAGGACAAACAGAATTGGGGACAGATTCAAATTTGATGCCACAGCTACCAGAGTTGTGTCCCCAAGCCGGAATGCGCCTTGATTCGTTCTGGATTCATGCGTTCGAACGCTGACGTCGCCTACGTCAAACAGCCCAGCAGCTATTAAACAGCCCTTCTCAAAAATTCTGACCCCAGAGGTCCACCTCACCGCCTTCCTCGCATCTTAGAAAGCTAGCCCAGAAGGAAACCCGAACCCTGAATGTCTAGCTTTCTTGGTGCGGGCATCCCTGAAATGTTCAGCTTGAGGGACAGAAGCACGCCCTGGCTTTGCCTGATCAGATTAGGAAGAATTAACTCAAATGCCGCAAGGGTCACCCTGGTTGACGCCCGGGCCATGCCCACATGAAGAGATGGCACGGCGGTTTGCTTCGTCTCCTGTTGCTGGAGCTAAAAAAGAATATTTTTCCCCCTATTTTATTTATGTATTTATCAAATGAATAGGCCACCCGTCTCACGCAAGGCGACTCTAATTGGTTTACAGACATGGAATGAAACGCCACACGGAAGCGATAAATAAATTATCCTGAATTTAAATAATCCAGTTTAAATCAAGTTTGAAATAGAATAGAACCGGGTGACTTTGGGCCGATCATCAGGAGACGGTGAGTTCTAGTCCCTCCTTAGGCCTGAGAGCCAGCTGGGTGACTTTGGACGGTGAATTCTAGTGCTGCCTTAGCCATGAGAATTGGCTGGGTGACTTTGGGCCAATCACCAGGAGATGGTGAGTTCTAGTCCTGCCTTAGGTATGAAAGCCAGCGGGGTGACTTATGCATGTAAGCCGATTGGGGGAGAGCCGGCTGGGTGACTTTGGACGGTGAATTCTAGTCCCTCCTTAGGCCTGAGAGCCAGCTGGGTGACTTTGGACAGTGAATTCTAGTGCTGACTTAGACACGAGAATTGGCTGGATGACTTTGGGCCAATCACCAGGAGACGGTGAGTTCTAGTCCTGCCTTAGACATGAAAACCAGCTGGGTGACTTATGCATGTAAGCCGATTGGGGGAGAGCCGGCTGGGTGACTTTGGACGGTGAATTCTAGTCCCTCCTTAGGCCTGAGAGCCAGCTGGGTGACTTTGGACGGTGAATTCTAGTGCTGACTTAGACACGAGAATTGGCTGGATGACTTTGGGCCAATCACCAGGAGACGGTGAGTTCTAGTCCTGCCTTAGACATGAAAACCAGCTGGGTGACTTATGCATGTAAGCCGATTGGGGGAGAGCCGGCTGGGTGACTTTGGACGGTGAATTCTAGTGCTGCCTTAGCCATGAGAATTGGCTGGGTGACTTTGGGCCAATCACCAGGAGACAGTGAGTTCTAGTCCTGCCTTAGACATGAAAACCAGCTGGGTGACTTATGCATGTAAGCCGATTGGGGGAGAGCCGGCTGGGTGACTTTGGACGGTGAATTCTAGTGCTGCCTTAGCCATGAGAATTGGCTGGGTGACTTTGGGCCAATCACCAGGAGACAGTGAGTTCTAGTCCTGCCTTAGACATGAAAGCCAGCTGGGTGACTAGGCCAATTACCAGGAGACAGTGAGTTCTAGTCCTGCCTTAGACATGAAAGCCAGCTGGGTGACTAGGTCAATTACCAGGAGACAGTGAATTCTGGCATGCCTTTAGCTGAAAGCCGGTTGGGGAAATTTGTGTCAATCACCAGGAAACGGGGAGTTCTAGTCCTGACTCCCGCCTTAGGCCTGAGAGCTGACTGGGTGACTTCGGAGTCGGACCATTTACCAGGTGACAATGAGTTCTAGTCCCACCCCAGGCACTCAAAAGCCGGCTGGCTGGCTGTGCCAATCTCCCTCTCTCTCTCTCTCTCTCTCTCTCTCTCTCTCTCTCTCTCTCTCAAACCATCCCATTTCGAAGGGTTGTTGTAGTGAGGAAGAGGACGGAACGGTGGGTACCTTCCCTTGCCTGGAAGTCATTTGCCCCAAATAACTCCAGGCGAGGCTCACCACTAACTAAACAAAACAGCCACTCCGCCACCCCTCGTCCTCCTTCCCAAAGTCCTCCCCTCCGAAATTTCTGGCTGGCTGCCCGCCTCCTCTCCTTCCCCACCTCGCTGGGCTGCCTCCCCTCCCCAGCCTGGCACTCTGCAGTCACATGAACGGCTGCTGCTCTCGGCCACCCTGCCCCGCTCCGGCCAGCAGCTCCTTCTCTGGGTGGCCATTGGCCCAGCATCCCACCTGCCCCCCTCCGTCGGAGGTCACCTGCGGCCTCTCTGCCTTCGCTTGGCACCTGTGGCTGCCTCACCTGGGGAGGGCATGGCTTCGGAAGAGGAAGAGGGAAACCAGAATCGACTGCAGCTTTTTCGTCTCCGATGCCCTTGAGAGCTCAGCTTCCTGGGCATTTCTTTTTTAAAAACAAAAAATCTGCATTATTTGAAAGGAGGAGAATTGGCAGGCTGCTTCTCTCCCCAGGGCAGCCTGGCAGCAGCTGGCAGCAAGCTTGGCCTTGGACTGAAGCCAGCTTCTTCCCTGGCAAGGGGTGGGGGGACCTTTCCGAAGCCCACCCACCCCCTCCTCACCCTGCTCTTAGCTTCTTGACCATGAAAACATTGTGTGGGTTCCTTCTCTGGATGGCAGCTTGGCAGCTGCCAACCTGTTCGCCGACGGTAGGTGGCGCTGCGAAGTGCCGGGTGATGGGATGGGCATCGGGGAGATGGGCACGGGGGGGGGGGCAGCAAGAGCTACCCCCTGTGGGAGAGGAGGTGAGGGTTTTGCCCCAGTCTAAAGACAGCGGCGTGTCTAACTTTTTTTTTTTCGAAATTGCATGCCCGGGGCCGAGAGAGGTTTGGGCAAAGATGCCAAGCCCTGGCACAGGCGCAGTTCCTTTGCATTGGTCTTGTTGGTTTTATTTAACCTTCCCCCAGAAGTTGTGAATGCTCCAACACTGGAAGTTTTTAAGAAGAGATAGGATAGGCATTTGTCTGGAAATGGTGCAGGGTTTCCTGCCTGAGCAGAGGGTTGGACTAGAAGACCTCCAAGGTCCCTTCCTTCCTTCCTCCCTCCCTCCCTCCCTTCCTTCCTTCCTTCTTTCTCCTCCCTCCCTCCTATCCATCCATCCTTCCATCCTTCCATCCTTCCTTCCTTCCTTCCTTCCTTCCTTCCTTCCTTCCTTCCTTCCTTCC